TGACAAAGCTGATAAAGGGGTTAGAGGGCTAAACTATGAGTAAAGACTGCATGTATTAAACTCTGTTCACTCTTGAAAAGAGGCGATTGAGAGGGGACATGATATTAATGTACAAATAGTTTAATGGTGATGGGACAATCAGTAATAAATGGTTTACTGTTAGTTCAGTCAAGAATACAAGAGGCCACCATCTGAATCTGGAAGAGGAAAGGTTTAATCTGAAACTGCGAAGGGGATTCTTTACTGTGAAAGCTGTAAAATTGTGGAATTCCCTTCCACAGACAGCAGTATCAGCTGAGAGTATGGATTCATTCAAGACTCATCTAGATAATTTTGTCAACGTGCAAGACATACAGAGGTACAGGTAATCTTAGAAACTCAAACACACACACACACACAACCTCTGTCAGGCACCCTGTGTAGTTCAGGCAGCCTGTATTGCTGTAAGGCAGCTAACCTTTTTCAATATTACTGTAAGCAAGATCACTCCTTCTGAACTAGCATGTATATATTAAGGTCCCAAAAACACAGAGCAAGCACCTCGATCTAGCGCAATAAAACACTTTTATTTGTAATAGAAAGGATTTGTAAAAAAGAAAGGTAAATAACAATGTTTTATTGCACTAGATTGAGGCACTCCTCTCTTTTTGTGTATAGTGTATACGTGCATGTAAGTATACATGCATTCCTTGTGATGTTGAGTATAGCTGCAGAGTATCCATTAGAAAAAGGACTAAGCTAAAGCTTTTGGTTTGTATGTCATAGGGTACCCACCAGATGAAATAGTTAGGGTTGCCTAAGAATGACTACACACCGAATAACAACCAGGTAGTCAGTGAATTAACATATTTGGCTCTTTCATAGGTTCTTTTAGAATCGGTAATAAAGTGGTTGCACAAATAAATACAGTATTGCATAACACAGAACAGCCATGTTCTCAATGTTCATGATTTGAAATGTGATAATCTGGATAATCCAGCCATTGAAGTTTATGGTCCAGGAGAGTCCACTGTAGTTCCATGCCTAATGCCAAATGGGAGCCCATGCAGACATGTCTTTCCCTATTTTAAATCTCTGTGTTATAGTAATGGCTGATTTTAAACATATTTTCCGTTTAGTCTTTACCCTTACACTGATTTTAGTTAATTATTGGATTATCTCTATAGCTAAACTATTTATTCTATATATCGAATAAAACTTTCTAACCATGATGGTTTATATCGTTGCACATTTTTAGAATTTATACTTTGATAAGAGCTCATATACATACAGTATATCGTTATTTATTATCAGTTTATCTCTGGGTGTTCTGATGCTTAAATGTATTATATCAATTTATTTTAGATTTATGTATAACAGGTGCATATAGACAGGTTTTTTTTATCATGTTCCCTTACTTAAAGCTTTGTCACACCTAAATCCAAAGATGTGGGCACTTGCCGCAAAATGTGTTGCTGGTGCTTGTAACAGATTCATAAATAAAGAAGAGTGCACTTTTAGGATCTAAGCCTTTGTAACGTCTTGTCCCACTATCTGATCAATACATTTTTATTGAGTGCCTCTGCTACATAAGTCATTTATGGCAACATTTGCGTACATCTTTACTATCACTGTAACCAACTTGAAGCTTCTCATGATGAGTAAACAAGGATTGGTTCTCCCCAGCAACCAGTGTGACCATAGCGCACTATACAGATCTATGTGGAGACACATTCCCCACAAGCTCAAGTTGCAGGTTTCATTATCATTTACATGGTCGTTTGCAATCTCCCTAGATTTATGTTAATATCTCACATTTTTCACCATACAGTATTTGTTCCTGTACTTAGCAACATATTACAATACCACGAATGGCTCTCCATACCACGAATGGCTCTACTTTCTATTTTCCTAAGAGCAACAAGCCATATGGAGATGTTAATCATTGAGCTCCATTCTGCATTGCTGGAAGGTTTTCTAGACATCTGACCCTTCTACTTTAGCAATAAAGACTTTGGGTGGCTTTAGCAATGTATACATGACTACATGGTTACCTGGACTTCCCTCCTTGCCACTCTGTCATGCATTATACCCTCAGGAACCACTGAGATGTATATCCTCTCTACAAGTAGTCCAGATGTCTGAGCGTGGAGCTCTATCTGAAGTATTTTACCCTTGTCAATTGTTTCATGACAAATAGAAACCCAGACTGCAATAAGAAGTTCCATAGTCACTCCACCATCAACCAGAGCATTCACCCTTCAACTGTTGTCAAATATATGGTATTGCAAATTCTGTTCTTTGCTGATTCATATTATATCACTTCAGTTGATATTTTTGATTTTTTTAATTTTTCTTTCTAGCTTTTAGATGCCATATTCTGAAAAATAAAAGTTTTTTTTCTGTTTGGTATTGTCTGTGTTGTTATGCATGTAGGAAAACAAAGGGACAGATATTTTAAATCTAGTAGATGACGGTCCAAAGGGAAGTTCAAACAGTGCTGGTTCATATTCTAATAACTGCATTGACTTGCACTGTCTGAAGCTTTGACAGAAGCTGACAGCACAGATCTAGAATAAACTGTCCCAGTTTGACAGCACAGAAACACAAAGCCTTTGTGGGTATGTTAATTAAAAACTGAACCATGAAATTAATTTGACTTTATATCTTGATAACAGGCTTTGAAGTGTCCCATGGATACTTTAAGCTTTTCTAATACTACAGTACCTGTTGACACATCTGTTTTTATCATATGGATCTGACACTTATATGTGCCCCTGTAGCAGATAACGGATTTTGTGATTAGCTGAAAGGTTTGGCTATCACTGCATTTTTTTCCTGTCATCTGGACCAATAAAAGAATTGCTCCCCCATTTACAGTTACTCTGATAGTTATCTGCTTATTCTTTCTTACGCAGTGCTTTTGTACACAGATGCTGACCACTCCAATGAGCCCAGCTAACCAATGGGGAGGGGATGATTAAAAGGCTATGTAATTAACAACATTAACACAGCTGAGAGGAGCAACGAACGGGGGAGGTGGTGGGCACAGCTGGCTCTGCCTCTAGATAGGCAGAGCCAGCTGTCACTCACGCAGCTGGGTGGACCAAAACAGTATTGTCGGGATCCGTCCTGCCTGCGGCGCTCTCAGTATATTGCGGGCAATAGCCCGCGATACACTGAGCATTGGGTCATAGGAGGAGGTTAGTATATGTCCTCCGTGACCTTAAAGAGAACTATGGGGAAAAACACTTACCCCATAGTTCTCTTTTAAATTGAGAATCCTCACATACAACACTATTCAGTATTCCAAGCTTGAAAAAGAATCTGAACATGATTGGGTACTCAAAGTAAACAGAAATTTGCTTTTCACAAGAATGGATATTAGAAGTGAATATTCACACAATTAATGAAAGTTCCTTAGTAAATCAGCCTCGCCACATTGGTTAACATGAGAAAAACGCATGATTAATTTGCCTACCTAAATACATTTTACATTGTTTTTAGAGACTTATATGTTTTTATTTGTTGGACTATTTAAAAAAAAATACCCTGCTCATGATTTTATTATAAGCTGACACATGGAAAAAAAATGCATAACAGTTTCTAATCACATTTTAATGTTTAATACATGTTTTCATCTTTTTACATGCTGTATCGCACTGTGACAGCTGCAGCCTGCCCCACAGCAGGCTCAATGACAGCTGCAAATGGTAGGTTGAATGTAAACAAAGCTTATGTGATCATCATGGATGAAATCCATGGTGATCACATAAATAAAAACAAAGCTGATTAATCATTAGTGTGGATAATGTGGCCTCAGAACTAGAAGTGATCCTAGTTCTACAATGGAATATAGATTATTGTTCTCAATGTGGGGCATCGTGCCTGAGAACATTCATCTAAAAGCGTGGTCAGAACTGGTTAAATCGCTGACTTGAAACAAGCACTGAGATAAATTCTGTGACTTCAAGGTTAGTTATATAGAACATATTGAAGCGCAACAGCCAATCAACTAGTATTTTAAGACACATAATTTACTTCACAACAAGTTTACTGTAGCTTAAGGATAGAACTTCTTATCCAGAAGATCCCGAAGAAAGCAGAGAGCCAACAGTCAGCTTAACATCACAGCAGGAAAGAAAATCCTGACTCCATCAATTGCAGTCACATTAATTATCTGATTTAATTTCTCCACTGCTGGGAGACTTGAGCTATGTACAATCAGTATGGTCATAAAGTGTGCCATCCTGTGGGAGGCACCCACTACTAGATTCTCACTTCCCAACCATTTATCAATATTCAATATACAATTTAATTCTTGTTGTATAGGATGCACTTGCCCCCACATTTTCCCTAACCTCATTTGCCACAGTTTGCAAAACCCCTTGGAAACTATTAAGTGGTAGGAGGGCACTCAGTGTTGAAATGGTCTTCACTACCAAAAGGAACGCAGTATCCACAGCAAATATCAAGGCTGATTGAGTAAAGGATTTGAAAATCTTCACTCAATAAATTCAGTAAAGATTCATTTTAATTATCCAATTATATGAAAAGCAAATTCTTGTTACTTTCATATGCACATGATTTGGGTATTTATAGTGAACACAGCTTCTATGTATTGACTGAACATTCTCAGCTGCTGTAGTAAATCAACCTCATTGTGTACTGCACATTGCTGCCTCCTGATTGACAGCTAGTGGTGGAGACAGAGAGTGCCACTTGGCCATCCCATTACTTACCGAGCTTCCAGGGTGATGAAGCACTATTTCCAAGGACAGAAGATGAGGACAAGGAAGAAGCAGCTACCATTCAGACAATGAGGGGGACATAATTTGCACTTTGTTCCCTTCAGGGCTGGCCCTGCATCCGTTGATGAATCCTACTAACTACATTACTTACAATGAATTAACCCCTTACTGTGCTGGGGACATAATTATTTCCCTTTAAGCATAAATGGATACTTTATGCAATGTAAAGTGTATTAATTTGGTTTCATTTTGTTTCTTGTTCATTTCTAGGTCCTGCATTTTGGGGTCTGGTGAACTCTGCATGGAATCTATGTACGATCGGCAAACGCCAATCTCCAATTAACATAAACACCAGCCAAATCATCTTCGATCCATTTCTACCTCCACTAAGACTAACCATGGAAGGAAAGAAGGTATATAATAAGAAAAATATCACTGAATTAAGAAAACAAAAAATAAAATAATATTTCATTTCCTTCATAGCAGCAATCAGTATATAATTTGTACATGTGTTCTAATTTCAAATTCATTCCAACTACAATGATGCAATAGGCTACAAAGTATCAGGGGGTATCAAAAAGTAATGCCTGTTGAGGTATAGAATGTTTAATTAAGCAGAAATGGAAAACTGTGAACATACATACAGTGTCAAGTTTAATGCATGTGTGTCATCATTTTGCCAAGGCCTCAAAACCAGTTTTGAAAAATTCTACAGAGCACTCTTTGCTCCACTGTTTCAGAGCTATTTTAACTTATATATATGTAGAAAATCTGCGCTCCTGGAGGTAGCTAAAAACTATTAACCCTAAAGCTGCTATGAAAGGAAAAATTATATATTTAAAGTAATAACACAGCGCTAAAAAGTGAGTGAAATAACACTAATATGAATGAGAATATAACGAAATCCTATATTCTCATTCATATTAGTGTTATTTCACTCACTTTTTAGCGCTGTGTTATTATTTTAACTTCTTGCAGTTCCTCAAATCTCATGCGATGGATGTAATCTTTCATTGGCCCAAAACAGGTATCAGTCAGATCGTGCCAAGTATGAGCTGTACGGTGGACCACTGACCAGCCCATTTTGGCAATCACCTGGTGGCATAAAACATATGTGGAGATGCATTATCAATATCATGATGCAGGTGTATGACCTGATGGCTTCCTTCAGTTTTCAAAGGTTGGAGGATGCCTTGTTCATCCCAGAACATAGTCGTCAACAACTGTCAGATGTGAATATCTTTGGATGAAAATAACTTGAATGGCGCAATTCAATGCCTTGTAAACAGTTTCAGTTTTTCTCTTTTTTAAACTTCGTTACCTATTGCCTAACACCTCTCACGTTGAGAACTGCATCACCATACACCATATTTTTAAGACGTGTATGGATCTCAACAGCTGGATGTCTGTCTTCATCAGAAACTCAGTTACTGCTCTTTGTTTCAACCTCTCCTTCATTATTCACTTGGTACAATTTTAAAAACAGATGCACACAGTGATTGAGTTAGACCATATGTATGACAAATATCAGGCATTTTATTATAAGTTCAAATGAACAATAAATATGAAACAACAGGTATTACTTTTGGATACCCACCTTGTAGTTATACATGTAATCAAACATTGGCTAGTACCTCTCACAAAACACTCAATGCCATACACTGACCACACTAGACTCCATGCCAAAAAAACACTGAACGGAAGGCTTTATTTATGATAAGTAGCCCAAAGTAAAAAGTCTACAAAATGTTGCAAAAATAAACACATTTTAGGGTGATATCAGAATTTTATGATATCTAAAAAAAAAAAATTAGCTCAACTTAGTACATTTTAATTTTCACACACCAATTTCTTTCTATTTAAATTATTGTAAAACATATTTTGTTACAATACGCATAGTAAATATTATTGTCATATACTGTAGTTCAGGAGAAGTGTTGTTATTTACATTTGGTTAGTATGTGAATATATGTGTTAAATAAGTTAATTATATGATAATATTTTAATTGCAAAATTATAAAAACCTAAATAGATTATATATGAGGAATTCCGAAAGTGTTTAACTACCTCCGGGCCGGCCGTAGTAAAAAAACGGCCGGCCAGGAGCTCTCTCGATCTGAGCGGGCGTCTCTAGATGTCCGCTCAGACACGCCCCCTTGCGCTCCAAGCGCTGAATACTGAAAAATGGCCTGGCCAGGAAGGGGGTCTAAACACCTGGTCTTGAAGTGGTTAAACTCGAAAGACAATGCAAAAATGTGAAAATTACATAATATAACATAATATTTCTAAATGAAATAAATTGTAAGGTGGTCTACGATATATTACACACAAGTCCATAATAGAAGTCACCAGCACTAGATGATATGTGCAAGAAGTAAAGCACTTTTTATTAAATCGCCACATGCGTCAAACAGCCAACATTTCGGGGCCACGCAGGGTCCCTTTCTTCTTGGTCACTATGTCAAAACATTGGCTGTTTGACGCATGTGACGATTTAATAAAAAGTGCTTTACTTTTTGCACATATCATTGAGTGCTGGTGACTTCTATTATGGACTGTATCTGGAAGGCGCCATCCGTGTTGTCACTTCAAGCACCAACCTCTCATCCAAGGTCTCTACGCTGTATGGAGTGCAGGTGATTTTGTATTATATATTACACACAAGGACACAAACATATGAGATGCTCTAAGGCTATAAAGTCACAGTCTGTGTATTGATGTACTACTTGTGTGTGAGAGATAAATGTATTCCACTACTAAAACCTGAGAATGAAAATGTGCTTGTACTGACTAATCATGAACATGCAGAAAATATATGAATTGCAGAATTCTGCTTGATTCTGCTTGCACGCGTGCTAGCAAGCGGTTAAAAAAAATGAGAAAGCCTAAAATGTGGGTCATGAAAATTTGAACATGGACCTCTTCATTACCACAAAAAATGCTAATCACTTAGAAAGGGGGAAATTGACTTTAAGGCAGCTCAGCAAGGGTGGTGACCTGGCTTTTTTAGCAGGAGTTAAGCAGTCAAGCTAGGTCACTTTGACATAAGCAGCATTTTACCCCTCTGCTCATTCTAGTCTCTCGGCACCATGTTCCTTGTCATAGTACATCTAATTGGATAAAAGTGCTGCCCCTTACTCTTCTATGAGCATTACTGTATAGAAGATTAAGAAAGACTAATACCAAGCATTCAAAAAACAAAAACATAACAACATTAATGTGTGTTTTTTCCTAATATCTGCCTGGAGTTCAGATTTGTCCCCCCTCCCCAAAGACTTAGGGGTAGCTCCCAGAGCGCCCGGGAGAGGGTTTTTTTTCTTTTTTTTTTGACAACAGCAGAGCCGCCGGACAATAGGAAACTATTGGGCGGAGCTAGCTCTCACTGCTAGCTCCGCACAATCGTTTGCTATTTACTTTTTAAACTGTTTTCATTCTTTTTAACTGATTTCAGCCGATGTACGGCTGGAATCAGCCGTACCAGCCTGAAGTGAATAGCCGAACAGTGATCGGCTCACTTCACTTCAGATCGGTCATTCACTCGGCTGCCCTCGACAGCTTCGTGAATAGACCACTTAGTGGTATAGGCTATTTACTGCAACTTCAAGACATCAATAAATGATTCAGAAGTCGCTAACTCTGCTTGAAATCAGCTTAGGTGAAAATTGCTTTACATACTGTATATGGGAATTTTAAAGCTGAAGTTTCATCTGCTTATATTTTTTTCTCTGTGGTCCCCCCATAAACATGCTGATGACATTTTTACATAAAATAGTCTCTTACTGATATAATAATACTAGTGTTTATATTGACTCAGCAAGCACTCAGAGATTTAAATGTAATCAATCAGTTTTAATTATATAGATTATTTTAGACTCAGTGACATCATCATTGGGTCTCTGTGTTTCTGTAAGCATGGCATGTGGTCATGACTGGCGGGAGAGGCTGGCTGGGTACTGTACATAGCTCTCTGAATACCATGCAGCACACCACAGTAATCTTCTCCAGAGATGAAAACCATGGCCTGTCGCTCAGAAGGAATTGTGCAAAAATGTCTTGATGGATGGGCATCAGTCCCATTCTTATAACATTCCTAAGCAGGCTGTATTTGCATTCAGACTGCCCTTGGTAATGCCCAGTTGTAATGCTAAGCCTCCAAGATTAAAAAAACTAAAACCCGATAAAGGAAATGGGTGGGCAGGGGACAGTAAGGCTGAAGAAGAAAGCACTAGATGATACTATATGTCCTCCAGGCAGCAAATGAGGAGGACTCTATCTGACTTGCTGCAGTGAGAAGCTTACAGTGTGCACTGAAATCAGTAAACAGGAGAGGGGTCTGTACAACTGTGCAAGACTAACAATTTTATTTGGTTTTATTAAATCTTCTTTTTTTAAAGCATATTGGACACATTATGTCCTTTGTTCACCAAAGAAGCTGCCATGAAAATAAGAATTATCAGGTTGTTATTTAGATAATAGTGTTTGTCAGATAACAAATGTTTATTGATGATCTGTGTTAGTGAGCTTACAAAAATTCCACCCAGGAATTAAGCAAAGGCTATGAGAAAATAGGATTGTACCTATTGATTGCCATTTCCAATTATTGTACCTTGCATAGGGACATCAATTATATTGACTATTTTTACAATCATTTAAAGACATTAGCCCAGTGGTAAAACTGTTCTATTGAGTGACCTTTAGCACTCAATAATGGCCTTACCAAGTAGTTAGAGAGGATGAATGAGAACTTCAAACACAACAGAAAGTGTAACATTCATATTAGATCTGAAGAAACTATTTCATAACCGACATGCTGAACATTAGAATCACAACTGCTAATGATGTGTATGTTACCAATAAGTATATCATCTGAGACTACAATGAGAACAATGTAGATAATTTGCTGTATAGAAGGAAACAAGATACTACAGAAAAAAATCCACAGACACAGTATACAGTATATCACATTAAGGAATTGTGAAGTAACCTTTTATTTTCGTTAAATGTATCATGATAAACAAATTTCTATTTCCAACACAAAAGTGGTTTTATATTGGACAACAGGCCAATTATAAGTAAATATGAGGAATTAAAAAATCATGTGGCCTTGGTAACCAATCAGAATCCAACTGTTACTGTTCTAGATCAGGCTGGTTAAAAGGGTTAGGTTACTCAGTTTCCCCTTGAGAGCTAAACATTTTGTGGGATATATAGTACAATTTATTTTTGTCACTTCAGGTAACTCATGTATTACATCACTTCCACCATCAGCTGTCATTTCTCTGGTTGCTATGGCAGCAGATGTCTGCTTCATTAGCTTCTTTGGGGGTCCCAAGGTGACATTAGGGATCTTAGAGACCCCTAATGTCTCCGTAAAGAAGACCTATCATTGTATATTAGCTATCACATAGGGGGCTTGTTAGCCCCCCCTATGTAATAGCAATAAAGTTCTGTAAAAAACAAAGTCACATATAAAAAAAAAATTAACTCCCCCGCATACATGCACATATAAACGTAAATATGTGTCGGGTGCGCCTATGTGCAAAAACAAAGATTACGCCACACATATTACATATCACCACAAACAACAGAGTGCAATCATTCAGCAGTTAAACGCCTCCTATATATGCATTTCATATTGTGTCTATAACTGTTTACCTTTTGTGTATCCTGAAGGTCATGTTAGGGGTGTGTCCATAGTGTAAGGATACACACTAAGGCAACACATGTGTTTATTTCCACCAACCATCAACAAGATGATTGTTTTTATTTATGTATTATTTTATTTGCGCCCCTAATCTAACCATGTCAATTATAATTCATCATCATATTATAATATATACTCAGGTTTAGTCTGTTCCATCTTACTTATTTCTGAATATTTTCTACCAGGTTAGTGGGACAATGCTCAACACAGGGCGACATGTTCTCTTCCGCCTGGACAAGCAGAATCCAGTTAATATCTCAGGTGGTCCTCTGTTGTACAACCATCGCCTTGAAGAGATCATGCTGCACTTTGGTAGTGAAAATGGGATTGGCTCAGAACATCTCATGAACAAGGAATCAGCAGCTGGAGAGGTGAGCACAAGACAAGGATCATAAAATCTGCATGATCTATTAACATCACAATTACGATCCTAGAGCTTCTATAATGGAAAGTAATACAATGAAATAACTCAGCAATGCATGAACAAATCAATATGAGGCATTCCTGTATGTCAGTAATGTTTGTCACACAGAGAATCATTACTGAATTAATTTACTGTTATACAAAACCTGAAACAAAAATCTTACTATCAGTCATTATGTGAAATGGGAAACAAATGGTGACAATAATGATAGATAGATAGATAGATAGATAGATAGATAGATAGATAGATAGATAGATAGATAGATAGATAGATAGATAGATAGATAGATAGATAGATAGATACATTTTCTACAATATGTGGTTGTAGGCGCCACTAAGCCCATTGATTTCAGTGGCTCACAAGTGCTGACAACCAACTAGGATGGCCTTCCCACTCAATACTGATGCATTCTTCAAACAGCTGTACTGTTTAATTGGTTGAAAATAAAATGTCAGTGTCCAGCTCTGGTATTAAAGCACATGGTGACATGTCCAAGAAAAACAAATTGAATGTGTAATTTGTAATCTTGGCTGATAGTCAGGCAGTCCTTGTTATCATCTCAACTTTAACAAGTGCCAACCAGTGCTCCTTGTTAGTGAAATCGCTAAAGATCTTTAACCCGGGAAAAAGGAGCAACTGAGCAAAATAGCTTCAGCATTTGAATGGTTATTTGAATGTAATCCTTTATTATAAATAAACAATCAATAAATCTGACAACCCCTGCCAAACATCAGCACTAAAGATAACACAACACCCTTTTGGCTTCCAATGTTGTACCCAATTCTTGCCTCCAGATAACAATCTTGCATTGTATTGTATCCTGTTTAGTTGTTAACATCCCTACCTTGTCACCCCACATTTTACCTATATATCTTTGTCTTTACTCTTTAGGTTCATTCTTTTTTTCTCTCTCTCTCTCTCTCTCTCTGTGGCACTGCAACCCTTGAAGGATTCCAGCATGCTTTTTAAATTTAACTCAGCCCACTCTATACTTTGCTTCTAATCTCCACCTTCTGAGCTTCAGCTTTCTTAGGTGCTCTTTCGCATTACTAATCCATTCCATTGTTTTGCCTACCACTCTTTGTAATCTTTCCCTTCTTCTTCGTTGTCAATCCATCCAGTGTTCATGTTTTCCCCTACGTATCTTTATATTGTTTTCATTATGTATATGAATATTTATTCCTTTATCAATCTGAGTTATGTATGATCTCTTGGTTGCTTATGCTCTACTTGTGCTTTCATTACATTATGAGTTATGCACTAGTAATATCATATTGGATATTACTTCTTTGCACTGGCAATGCAGAACCACCCACTCAACCTTCTTATTGGCTTACAGGTTACTAAAGTTAAATGTGGGTCTTCTTGCATTTAAATTATTTATAATGGGATAAATTAATGATTATGTTTAAAATTTAGTAATTTAGTTGATTAGTAATAAAAATTATCTATGAGCTTAAAAAAGTGGTACGGCCATATTGTTTAGATGCTTGTTTTCCTTGGGTTATCTTTTGGAGCAGATTTTGTTGGTAGTAGCAAATATTCAAACAAGAACTTTGAAGTGGATAAAGGATTTATCTTTATCTGACCAGCAGAAGAACAAGGGAAAATTAGTCCTAAGTGTTTGTTGGCATATCTGTAGCTGTGTTTGCCATGCTATTTGTGAGTGATTAATTTAGGAAGTTATGTTTGTTTATTTGGTCTGTTATAATGCATTTAAAGTGTATGTCCACATTTTTAGCCAAATTGGGATAACACCTGCTTTATACTCTTTTCTTTTTCCCATTCACATAGCATGAAAAATAAATAAATACATTCAAAATTGTTGCTTACTTAAGTGCTTAAAATCCATACCTTGTCTTCCCCTATGTAATGTTAAGGAGGGGCTGTGGAGTTGATTTTTACCATAATTAACAATATCTGTACTGTACTGGCAGATGTCATTATCAGTTGTAAGCTTGATTTCAACACTGTCTGCCCTGGCAACTGTTTAAGGACATTGAGACTTAGGGGGTTATTCAAAGCTGCCGAAGGCACTTAAGTGAATAACCAGACCAAAGTGAAGTGAGCCGAATGATGTTCGACTATTCACTCCGGTTCAGTACGGCAGATTTTAGCCGTACATCGGCTGAGCCAAAGTGCAGAAGGATTCAACTCAGCCGATCCAACACCTGGATCGGCTGAGCCGAAGCTCCGTATCTCACTCGCTGCTGGTCGCCCCTATTCACATAGGGGCCGAGCGGCAGTGAGTGAATAGCCAAATGTCGCCAAGCGACATTCAGCTCGGTTATTCTGCTTGGTACCTCCGTGGTACAGAGCAGAATAGAAAATCAATGGAAATAGTCCAAAAAAAGGTTGAAAAAATGTAATAAATAAATTAATAGTAAAAAAAAAATTTAAAAGTGTTTTTAAAAAAGAAAAATATTAATTAAAACAATTGAGCAGAGCTAGCAGTGACAATTAGCTCCACCCACCTGTTTCCTATTGGCCGGCGCCTGCTAGCCTTTTCTAGCAGGTCCCGCCCAGTTGTTATTGTTTAATAACCGGGTCATTTGGGGACGCTGATCTGTCATTACAAATGGCGGAGCCAGCCATGAGATCACGGCTGGCTCCGCCCAGCTGTCATTTGCGGGGCGAAAGGCTGGACTTTGACAGGCCACTTGCCCCGCTTTGGCTGTCACTTCTGCTCAGTCAAGCCTAAGCATTTGCCTTCGCAAGCTGAATGGGCTATTGTGAATAGCCCGTACAGCAGCCCTTCGGTTCAACTGAACTGAAGGGCTCCCACAACCGAAGCGAGCCGAAGCATCAGCTGAAGCTACGGCTGGATCCTTCGGCAGCTTTGTGAAGGATTTTGCAGTGTATGTTAATGAGGGGAAACTAACTTTGTCCCCACTATGTCCCTCTGCAATTATTTCTCAAAATATTTTTTCAACATTATTTTTGGGTATGCTGTGTGAATGGGAACACATAACAAACATATGTTTAGGGTTTCTTAAATTTGACTGAAAAAGTGGAAATATACTTTAGAATTGCACAGAAGATCGATCAAGAAGGTTAAGTGCACAGACAAATCTCAAGTAGGGTGTTGGCTAAAATCACTAGTGATCAATTGCCTCGCATAGAACATATCAGAGGTAATGGGTGGGTTCATGGGTGATTTTGGTCATGTGATGAAGCAAGCAATCATAGGTCAATAGCACATGCTCCAAATAAATCGCACAATGGCAATTACTATATTTTTTATTGGTTTTATTTGAAAGATTTGAGTAATCACATTGTAGCATAATTATGCAACTTGATTTATTTGACTCGTGATTACCATTTAGTGTGTTCGTTACCATTTCAACTGGCCGATATTGCACGTGGAGGCGCCGGTATTGTTTCCTGTCACTAGTCAGCTTATGTGTACAAATCTTAAAGCTTTATTGAGAGGACAGGGTGGGCGAAACTGAGGCCACATAAGAAAAAACATTAATTTTACTCACATGCAATATCAGAAATAAACAGAGCTGCTGGTGTGTGTAAATTAAAGCTCAATAGCACTGCTGCCTAAGGTTAACATAGATTGTCCTCCACTAACAACCAAAAGAAGGTGGCTTGCTTCTTCCAGGTGCTTTTCCTTCCTCTGAGTCCTGAAAATGGAGTCTAGGTTCCCAGGATGCACCTGTTTTCTCCTCAGAATAAGCAATGATGGCAGGTTGGAAGCGTTACAGGGCCAAACACTGCTAAAAGAGAATTATGTATTAACATAGGGTAGTGCAGTAGGGCAACTAGGTGTAGCAGAAGACATTGTCAATAGGAAGAACAACATAACGTATTAAAAGAGAAACCTCTCCCCCCCGGTGTTTTTTATTTTTACAAAATACAGCATTATGTCTATTAGATGGAGCTGAAGAGCGTAGGTTCTATACTCCTCAGCTCCATCTAATCATAATGTCATACTGTCTTAATATTACATTCGAAAGAAAATCGACTAAGAACATTCATTTTTTGCCTCCATTTGCACAGAACGAATGTTCACAGAGTTTTACAGGACAAACGGCTCTACAAATTGTTTATAAATACACCCACTGGAGTTAAGAACCATACAGACAAACACATCATCTAATATGCAGTCTGTAATGTGTAACTTGGCTTTATAATGAGGACCATAAATATTAGAGAGTGGTCGGACATGAAGGCATGAAAGGTTAATAAAGGCTGCAGAGGATTCTGTATGCTTGCAGGGCTGGTGGATCAGGCAGATCTGCCCATGCCATGTATATCAATCTATATTTGTATAAGGGTAATTAGAGTTTAGTGGGGTTATTTTTACTTTGTCACGAATTATACATATTTAAATATAGTAGGGGATATACAAATAGTCAGGTTAAAAAAATACATTGAGTTCAACCAATAGAGTAAAGAAAAAAAAACATAAATTAAAAAATAGAAAATAGAACAGAACAGAATAGGGAGGGTAATAGACACGGACTTAGACACTATAACATTACAGGAGGACCTGGATAAAATAGGGGAGTGGGCATTAATGTGGCAGATGAGGTTTAATGTCGATAAATGCAAAGTAATGCACTTTGGAATTAAAAATAAACAAATGGGTTATACAATTATGGGTATGCCGCTGGGGAAGTCAGAAATGGAGAAGGATTTGGGGGTCATTGTAGACCACAAACTGAAAGGTAGTTTGCAGTGCCAGGCTGCTGTAAACAAAGCTAGCAGGGTCTTGTCCTGTATTAAAAAGGGGATGTATTGCAGGGACAAGTCTATAATTTTGCCACTTTATAGATCATTGGTTCGACCTCATCTGGAGTACGCGGTCCAGTTCTGGTCACCAGTACTAAGAAAAGATGTCCTTGAGTTGGAAAAAGTCCAGCAAAGGGCAACCAAACTAATTAGGGGTATGGAGGACCAGAGCTACGAGACGAGGCTACTAAATTTAAACATGTT